TTAAGTGAAAAGGTGAAAGCTCTTGACTTAATAAGGAAAGAAAAAAATTATATGTTGAGGTTGCTAAGATCTACAGTAGCTTTTATTATAGTACACTGTTATAAGTATTCTATTTTATAATTAGTTATTGTTGTTACTCTCTTACTGTGCCTAATTTATAAATTAAACTTTATCGTAGGTAAGTATGTATAGGAAAAAACATAGTATATATAGAGTTGGGTACTATCCGTGGTTTCAGGCATCTCTTGGGGGTCTTGGAATGTATCCCCCATAGATAAGGGGGGTGTGTGTTGTAATTGTGAAGGTTATTATAGGAGTTCTGAGATAATTTCATTATTTTGTAAAGTCTAATGGAAATTGTACATTTCTCACGGTAGAGCTCATTTTTTGTATGAGTGAAATAAATCTAATGACTAATGAAATGAAAGTGCAAAGTAGTAATTAATAAATAATATTAATCACAAATTTCAAAAGATGGAGTCTTTCCTAGCATTTGTTTCGGAAGAGTGAATCACTGGAGGAGTTTATTGTAGAATTACTTATTAAAAAAAATAAAGGTAACACATTTAGGGAAACTCAGGAAGACCCTGGGTTTCAACAAGAACTTGAGGTATTTAGAAGTTTGGTCAGTGGAAGAATGGTCCAGAGCCAAGGCAGCCCCAGAGGCTGATTATTATTGTTGCCTCTCAGCTGGGAGCTCTTCACAACTAACTCGTTGTGTTAGTTTTCTATTGTTAGTGTGACAAATTGCCACACATTTATTGGCTTAAACCACACAGATTTGTTATCTTACAATTCTGTAGATCAGAAGTCCTTTCCTTAGCTCATGGCCTCTTTCCTCCATCTTCAAAGCCAGCAACATTGGGATACTTTCTTCTGACACTGCCATCTCTCTGTTTTTTTCTTGCGTAGTCACATCTTACTCTTGCATTTTGAAGGACCTTTTTGATTACGTTGGACTCACTCGGACAATCCGGGATAATCTCCTTATTTTAAATTCAGCTGAAACAAAACTCAATTCCATCTACAAACTTAACTCCCTTTTGCTGTGTAACAACATATGTATTCACAGATTCTGGGGATTAGGACATGGATAGCTTGGGAGGCCAATATTCTGGGTACCACAACCATCACTTGTGTCATTCAGTAGTGTCTGAATACTGTTTTCCTCCTGCTAGTCTTTTATGTAGAAATTTGACTGTGTTTCTCTTTAGGGAACTTAATTTACTCATGAGCTGCCATTCTCTCTTCCCGGAGGGGAAAAAAATTACTCTTACAATTTCAAGTTTAGTCTCTTTTAGCTCAAAACCTCTTGTGGTCAATTATGGATTTAATAAATTCCAAGTTCCAACTTCCTTACGGTCTTCTCTAACGTTCTTGACTTTGCTCCGTGGCATCTGGGTGCAAGGGGAAACTTATGTGACAAGATGTCTGCAGTATTTGTTCTCTTCTGTTCTTTTGGCGTAGATATTGAATGTGATTGCTACTAAGAACTCGGCCAGTCTCCTCAGCCTGCCTAGGGCCCCTTGGCTCTGGGTGATTTTCACTATCATCCTTCAGCTGGACCTCTGCTTTCCACTGTCCATCCCTCAATCTCTGCACTGGGATCCCCTTGATCGTGCACTGAGGCAGTCTCCTAGCAGACATACTGTTCCTTAATTCTCAACTACTTTTCTTGTTCATCCCAAGGAGCTTTTCCCCACATCCTGCTGAAGCCAAGGGAGAACCCGGGCATAGAGAGGCATTGCAGACTCACTTTGCCTCAACATGCCACATTACCATTTCACCTTCTGCTGCCCTGGGCGGTGGTTTGCTCCTTTGTGATGGGAAATGGACTCAAACTCTCTCCACTCTGATATTCCAAAGCCTGAATCCCAGTGTTCTCACTAATAACAATGATTAATTAAATCTGTCTTTTAGGTTTCTTAAAGTGAGTAAATGCTATAAGTGATACACCTGAGAGTGGTATAGATTAACTGCCTAAAAGTGATTGCTAATATAATCCTCTAGGTCACCTAAAATGTGGAAGCATATCTAGCTTTCAGTAAGCATCTCTGGGGTATCTGTATTATTCCATGGCATAATACTGACTAGTCTGATTTCTGAAATATTTCTTTAGGTATGTATATTAAGCAATTATATCAATGAGTGGTGTCACTTTTTAGATATTACATTTGAGTTATTTTTAAATGTATTATTCTGAAGATTATCTTGGAACTAGGGACTTAATAGAGCAAAGAGACTTAGAAAGAAGTTTCCAGTGAAAAAGGTAGAGAAATCATATTCTCTGTTGTCATCACAGCAAAAGTTGGTCTGTGAATGTAATAGTGAAAGAACATTAAAGCCAGTTAATTAAGATTGTAAGAAAGAAAGAACGTACAAGTGATGAGTATTCTTTTTGTCAAAACTTGTGTCAGAGATGGCAGTGAGAGTACTTAAACTATAGAAAAATTAAAGCATATTAGTCTATCAGTCAGGAGGAAAAACATCTGTCTTGAATTCTCTTTACATACTGCATTCTTTCTAGTGGAAGAAATGGAAGCTAGTGGCACACAGCATGTGAGGAGTTGACATGTGATTTGAATGGAGCTCTGTCTGGTACCAAAAACTCATATTATTTCCATCGTGCTGTTTTTCTTTCAGGAAAGACATTGGATAAAATGGTAAAGCAGATGATTATTTTTTTAAAAAGAAAAAGAAAACTAGGAAGAGGAAAAGAAAGGATACTTAAGGCTATTTGTGAGCTAGATCTTGTTTTTTATTTTCTAAGCATTTAAAAATTACCCTAGAAACAGAATTTGAGAGAATATTCTGTGTGTGTGTGTGTATATATATATATATATATATATACTCGAACTAAATTGTTTCTTCTGATTATAATCCATTCATTCTTTAAAGCACCTATAATATGTCTGGCATGTGTAGATAGTGACTTAAGTAACATTATCTATACTGCCTAATGAGAAGTACAGTGCATCCTGAACTAATCTCCACCAACTCTGAATTATATTGTAGTCCCAATACCACAGAAATGAAGTTAGACTTCATTCAGAAATGAACAAGATATTATTGATGGTACAAAGCACATCTACCTTTCACACAATTAGCTATATTGGTTTTATTGCAAAGAACTAAATATCCTGGATCAATTAAAGTGATTTTGAGGTTTATCTACTTGTACCCCAAATCAATTAATCTATTTAGGAGTTCATGTTCCCGGTTGTCATCTTAGGCTGAAATGAGAGAGAGAGCCTTGGGTTGGATGGAGTTCTTTATGGATAACCTAGATCCTTAAAATAAGACTCAGTAATCTGCCTTTCAGCAGAAAGCATAAGCAATCCAGTAATATGCAGGAATCTTGAATGAAACTAAATATGGGGATTTTACGTGGCTAAATTACTGTGCCTTGAATAGTTGGAATGAAAACCTACAAGGTCAAAATTCAAATGTGTTTGGGAGGGGCCGGCTCCGTGGCTTAGCGGTTAAGTGCGTGTGCTCCGCTGCTGGCGGCCCGGGTTCGGATCCCGGGCGCGCACCGACGCACTGCTTCTCTGGCCATGCTGAGGCCGTGTCCCACATACAGCAACTAGAAGGATGTGCAACTATGACATACAACTATCTACTGGGGCTTTGGGGGGAAAAATAAATAAATAAAAATCTTAAAAAAAACAAAAAAATCAAATGTGTTTGGGAAAAACCTCATAGTTTGAATGTCAAACAATTTTAGGAGTAAAAGTTTGATTTAAATCTTCTAAAACTATTAATTTTTAATCACTTAAATAAAAAATTATAATTTCATGTAAAACTAACACACTCTGTTATAAACAAATGTTATCTGTGTCTATTTGAAACCAGCGTTCACCAGTGGCATACATGCTCAGCTGGGACTAGGCTGTAGAACCTGTTGGTAGTAACACAGAATGTTGCAGTCCTGACAGGAAAAAGCAGGGTTGAACCGGTTCCTGCTTGTGCCTGGATTCACTTCCCATAAGATGGTAAAATCCTGCCAGGTCCCAGCTTTTAAAGATAGTTTAGTCATGCATGTGCAACCCATCTGCTGGATGCATAAGGGATTTCCTCCTCAGCTCAGCCCTCCAGCCACAAACACAGTCACTGTTTTTTCCCCTTCGCTTTCATCTTCCTCTCCTGCCAGGAACGTACAGGCTCTGTAAACCAGGTGCATCTTATGCCACTCTAGGGAAATCCTTCCATAGACACTGATGTGAGCCAGAAATGTAGTTGTTTTTGTTTTGCTGCCTAGCTTACTTTCAGTATAGTTTGATTCAATGATTTAAAGAAAACAACATTTAATTTGATAATAAAAATATTTACGCTATTACAGTTTTAACCAAACTTTCATGTAGACCTCAATGACCTTTATCTCCTCTGTCTGTGAAATGAAGCTCCCTGTGTCACCTGGATGAACCTTGGCAGAGGCTTCATTCTCTGTCTCTCTGTCTATCTCTGTGTCTCTGTCTCTTTCTCTTTGTAAGGTTTAGCAGCATACACTTAAGCCTCAGTGTTTGCAGCGAGGGAAAATAGTGGGAAGTCTGCCTCAATACATTGTTGCTTTCCCCTTCCTCCTACCTTTGTTTGCTGCACACTTCCTGGAGGTTCGACCTCCCATTCTTCAGTTCTCCTTCTGTTTTCTAGAATGGACTCCTTTTTTCTTTAAACTGCTGATGGCAGTTAATACCAGGTTTTGAGGTTGGGGAGTACAACTTCAAGTCACAAAATTGCATACACAAACCATTGTGGTACAAGATGTCTTACAGCCTGTTAACGTGACATAGTGTTTTGGCGAAGATGGTGATCTTATAGCAAATTTATATTTATATATATGTTTTTGACACATCTAAACTCCAAAAAGATCAAGATGAAGAAAGGAAAGGGTGGGTCTTTCTAATCAATTGTTTATGGGTTTCAATACATACTAATGTGAACTTATGAGCCAAATAAGTAATTATTGTTCTTATTAATTTTCTTTTCCCTTCGTTTAGATTTACGAGAAATACCAAGATTTGTATACTGTGGAACCAAATAATGCACGCCAGCTGGTGGAAATTGCAGCCAGGGATATTGAGAAACTTCTAAGCAACAGATCTAAAGCCCTGGTGGTGAGTTTAAATTGGATCTGCTCATTTTATGATTTTCCATTACTTATTTATTATTTATTTTTCATGCTTTATTTGGAGGTTTTCATATATTTTCTTTACCTTGGAAACTGTGTTCATCAAATATGTTCATAAAAGATGAAATAGCGTGATTTCATTGTGAACCCCCAAAAATCACTTAGCTTATTTCTAATTACTTGTTCATTTTTTGTATTAGGCAATTTTGATACGTAGGAATAGTGTATTTGGTACATACATCTTTTTATACATATGTACGTTATGATGCATTACAATAATGTTTAAATTTACCATGCAGTATAAAACCCACAAATATTGCCAGCACCCCTAAAGCTGCCTTTGTAGTCCTCTCCTATTCCATCATTCTGCCTCCTTGCGAGAGGTGGCCAATACGCTAGATGTGATTACTAATTCTTTGTCTTTTAAAAATAGTTATACTTCACATAAATATTTTGCCAAACAAGATATTTGTTAGTTTGCTTGTTTTTCAGCTTTATTAAATCACATTATATTGTAGGTAGTCGTCATAGAAAGACTTGCTTTCTTCCATCAACGTAATGTGTGTATGATTTATCTGGATGTATGTACTTAGTTTTTTTTTTTTGTGAGGAAGATCAGTCCTGAGCTAACATTGTGCTAATCCTCCTCTTTTTTTGCTGAGGAAGACCGGCTCTGAGCTAACATCTATTGCCCATCCTCCTCCCTTTTTTC